CCCAAGGATATATAATAAATCGATATGATCCCAATCCCTAGAAAAAGTAAAATAATTAGTTCCTAGAAAAAGCAAACTAATTAGATATTCCCAACGACTAAAACGATAGGCATTATAACAGCAAAAAGTGATTAATCATCGTCTATAAAATAATCTATAGATAATGATCTATATTATTATTATCATATTTGGCAGTCCAAATAGAGTTAAACCCTGCAAGCGGTTTATAAGACGACATAATTAAACATATAAACAACGTCGATATGTTAAGGAAAGAATTTATTCTAGCAGATTAGCTGCTACATATCTTATTGAAAATATCTTATTGAATATATCTTATTGAATATAAGAAATCCGAAACAAAGGACTATAAGAACTAAGATGGATAGATAAAGTTGATCGTTGATACAAAAGAACTTGAATTACTTTAGAAAGATGAAATTGAACAAAATACATAAACGCTGCTGTATATATACATGTTCATCTTATATAAGAATTATAAGAAATCTAAACTGAAGGACTAACACTTCATTAATAAAATAGAACTTGAAATGGGTGTCGGGATATAAGGTTTTCGGAGTATACAACTAGTTGTTACTGGTGAACATTAATTAAGAAGAAATCACGATTTATGAGAAGGGTTTACAAAAGAAACTTCACAGACGAGAAAGAATGAATCTGATAGAAGGCCTTGAAATGAGAAATCGTTTGCCTTGCATATTTAAACAAAACGATTAAAAGTTTAAGTGAGTAAAGTATTTTGGATAGAAGTTCATGAGAACTGCTAAGTATATTCAAGGTAAGGGACAGTAAAAAGTTTTTTAATAGCTCGATATTGAATTAAATTTTAGATGACAGATTTGGGATAACCTTTTCAACAAAATGTTAAACTTGGGAGAAATCTTCCAGCAAGACTGCAGAGTTGAGATAACTACCCGAGCAAGATTGCAGAGTTGGGATAACTCTCCCAGCAGGATTGCAGAGTTGGGATAACATTCACAACAAGATGTCAGACTTTAAATTAGTCCCTAAACAATATGGGAAAGTTAAGATAACTCTTCTAACAAGATAGTAGAGTTGGGAAAAATTGTGCCTAACAAAATGGCATATTTGGAAGATGGCAGAGTTGGGATAAAACTCCCTACAGGATATCTGACCTTGGATTACTCTTCCCTCAAGATAGCAGAGTTGGGATAACCCTCTCAACGAGATGGTAGGGTTGCGATAACTCTGCAAGCAAGATGGTAAACTTGGGATTACTCTCCCAACAAGATGGAAGAGTTGGGATAACTCTCCCAACAAGATGGAAGAGTTGGGATAACTCTCCCAACAAGATGGAAGAGTTGGGATAACTCTTCCAACAAGATAGCAGAATAAGGACAACTCTCCCAACAAAATGACAAAGTTGGAATAACTCTCCTAAAAAGATGGAAGAATTGAAATAACTCTCCTAACTAGATGGCAGAGTTCGAATTACTGTCCCAACAAGACGGAAGACTTGTGATAACTTTCCCAACAGAATAGCAGAGTTGGGATAACTTTCCCAATAAGATGGCAGAATCAGAAGAATGCACATCTGTAATTTAAACAGTGCGAACACTTTCTTTTCAAACACATGAAAACACATCATTTAAATGAAAAATAAATTCAAACCAAATGAGAAGAGAATATTCAATTTAAATTGACCCTATTAAAAAACAAAGTTCAAATTTTATAGCGTATCATTTAATAAAATTTTATGTAATTTTTATTATATTAAAGTCATCTATTTTACTACCAAATAAATTTTATCTTGAATACTCATTCTATTATTATGATCAGTACCGAACTTAACAGTTGCAGTGTCTATTTTTTGTCTGTATATGTATGTATATATGTATATGTTGTATGCTCGTACAAACATTTTCTAGCTTTAAAAATTGTTGATGTAGGAAATGATTTTTCCAAAATTATAGACTTACACACACACAGTCACATTCCTATTCGGAAATTGTGAATGAAATTCTTAAGTGGCCTTTAGACATCAACGCGCGTTGACAAACACACGAAGTCTTCTCTCTCCATTACACATTAAATTTACCAACAATTTTTAAAACACACCCCCAAAAAATAATACAAACATTTTTCACTCATTAGTATGAAAGCAATCGCTGAAGTGTAAACAGTAAGTACCTATGCGTATTTTTTAAGAAAAATAATTTTTTTTTATTTGAAGTTCAAAATAAAATTGAAGTTTACCTTTAAATTTAAATACTAAATCAAAAATTCATATTTCTTTGGTTAAATAGTAAAAAATATAAACCAGTCATTTGAGATTTTAGTCAATATTTCTACCTGTAAAATTTTATAAATAATAAATTTTTCGCAGGTAAACAATTCAAATAACATTTAAAATATAATATTCTTTGTAATTTAATGTTTGGTTATTTATATATTTTTAGTAACCCAAGGTTATTAATATTTTAATTCTTCTTAATAAAATGTTTTGGAAATTAAACAATTTTACCTAGGTAGAAAATACAAATATTTAAAATAAAATTCATTCATATTTGCAAAGCATCGCATGCTAGCGACAAATCATGCGTGCATTTAAACGATGTTTACGCTTCCATTTCTCAAAATAAATAAAATTTTGCATGCCGACCAAATCCGACTGTATATGCAAAAACACGAGCGTGTTTGAAGAAATATCAAAATTTTTTGATTTTCGTCAACACATTTCTTAAAATTTCAAATGTTACTATTACACAAACAAATTTCGCATTTCACAAAGTAGGAGAAAAAATTCTAATGTGAGAGCGATTTTTTAGTATATTTGTTGTTTTATCTGGGGCGTGTTTAAAAAATTTTTAAAAAATTGTTTGTGTAATGGCAAGCGCGCGTTGACAACGAGCGTTGATGTCTAAAGGGCCCTTTATGTGTGTACTTAAGTGGTTTTCGTGTTTGGGTGTGTGTGTGTTGTAAGCGCTATTACGTGCGTTAATTAAAAAACAAAAGAAAAGAACTCTAACCGGCTATAAAAATAAGAACCAACTAAAAAGAAACATGTGGCATGAGACAAACACACCTTAACCTTGCATCACAGGTACAGAAATGTTTGTGCAAATGTAAAAAAGGAAAGTTAACTTATGTATTAAATGTTTACTTGTCAGGGGCACAAGTGACACTTTACATTAAATGTACATAATACATACATATGTATATACGTATATATAATTTTTTTTTTGTGTTTGTTTTTTTAACTTTGGAGTAATTTTCACATTTGTTACCAGTAAATAAGTAAACACTATTTTGGTAGTGAAGCGTGAGTGCTATGCATTGTTGTTGCATAGGAAATATAAAATTTTACCACAAGGGATATTTAATTGAGCAAACCTATGATTATATGTATGTGTGTGTGTTTTTTTATTTAAAAGGAACACAGTGAAGTCACTTCATTTGGGCTGAATAAAATAAACGTTGACGTTATACCTTTTTTGGTAACTTCCTGGGATTGTCATAGGAAATTTTTTTTTTCTTTATACAATGCGTTTTTAACAGTAGACAATTTTTATTGTTGTTTTTTTTTAATATATACAAATTTTAAGGTGTATTTTATTTAAAGTTTGAGACTTGAATTTTTAAGTATCTTTTATCGAAGTAAAAATATATTTATAAGGATAAGTTTTTGAATTTAATGTCATTAATAAAATCAAATTGATTAATTAATTTGAAACAATTATCAGTCTCAATTATCAATTTTATTATATTTTCTAAAAACTACTGAATTACATATAAGAAATATATCTTAAACTAAAAATATATTAATAAGCATAAGTTTTTGAATTTAATACCAATAAAAAAAATCAAATTGTTTAATTAATTTTAAATAATTATTAGTCTCAATTACCAGTTTTATTATATATTCTAAAAACTACTTCTTTTCTTCTTCTTGTTCTTGAGTTAGTGCTATTACGCACTTTTACTCTGTAATGGCTAGGGGGCTTATCACTACCCCACACTAGGCTAAGAAATCATATCATTTATTTGTCTTTTAGTTAATGACGGATCTTAAATCAGCATATCTTCCTGAGATTCCAGAAGTGGACTTAAGGATTGTTAGGACGGGGTTAAGTAGCGTATCAACTTTAGTGAATAATTTGAGAGCTCTGTCTCTGAAATATTTTTTCACAGAGTCTATCCAAGATCTCTATGTATGTCTGTTGATCTAATATACCATTGAATCTTAAACAGTCTTCTTAAAGTCAGGTTTTAAGCTATCTGAATTACATATAAGAAATAATTCTTAAACTAAACATATACATATTTATAGGAATAAGTATTTGAATTTAATGTCAATATAAAAAATCAAATTGTTTAATTAATTTTGAACAATAAGAACAATAAAGTCTAAATTATCAGTTATATTATATTTTCTAAAAACGTCCGAATTACATATAAGAAATATTTTTTATATATTCTATATAAAAAGGTGCCGATTTTGAAGATTTTATTAATTTCATGAAAACGAGTTGAAAGAACTTTTTAAGGTATTTTATACCGTCTTATTGCATTAATTAAAATTTAATGTTTTGACTTAAAATAATAATTGCAAAAACCAAAATTCTGACTTATTTATTATAAATTTTAAGTATATTTTTAAGCTGCATAATGAATTTTTGTAATCTTATAATATATGCATTTATCTTAAATATTTTACATATTTAAGTTATCAAAAACATGCGCTCAAACGGATATTTTTATATATACATATACATATGTATATGTAAATATATGTGTACATAAAAAACTGGTATAAAACTTGATGAATGTCTAAATGCCGGCTAAGTACTTTTCTTGCACAAAATTCATCACGTGCGAATTTATTTTTTTTTTTATTTCCATAACATCAAACGCACACACACATACACACTTGCATATCACATACACCAGAGCAAATGGTAACAACCCAGCGGGACTTTCAGCGCTGAGGGAATCGATTCCCTCAGCGCTGAATGGTAATGCCTAGCGCTGATTATTCAAAGAAACCTAATTACCGTAAACACGTGCATGTCATTGCGGCAAGCGTGAATCGTCGATTACCTTTCGTATTGGTAATGCAACATATCAGCGCTGACAGTCCGTTACTTTTTCGAATTTGTAAGCAACATATCAGCGCTGACATGTTTAGCTTACCTTTTCGAATTTGTAATGCAACATATCAGCGCTGATATGTTCGCTTAAATTTTCAATTTTACCTATGCTATTGATTTTTAAATAAAACACTAAAAATTTTTTTGGATGAATTATATTTTATATTTATGTTTTATAAAATCAAAATAATAATATTTACATAAAAATATATAATATATTTATATATCATATTAACTTATTTACATTTTAAATTATTTATATATAATTATTTACATGTTAATTTATTTAAATATTATCTCATTTACATATTAAATTGTTAACATATTTTCATATTAATTTATTTAAATATTAACTTATTAATATCACCATTAATATGTTCAGCTGTACTGCAGGAAGGTGTTGTTTTCGTACCAAAAGTTTGAAAATCATTTTCTATAAAAGAATAAAATATTTTAATAAATGCACGATTAAAATTCCCTGTTTCATTTATACCTTCTTTTTTAAACGATAAAAATTCCTCCTTTTTCTTTTTCACCAAACATTTATAATGTCTTACAGTATGCATCTATATAATACAAAACAAAAATTATAATTATCATTTTAAATATATTTACTTAAATTTGCATATACTTACAGTGAGTTTGTGTTAAATTACAAATTATATTTTATTTATATTTTTGATTTTATTTTGATTTTAAAAATCAAAAATTGTTCACTGCACGCACTTCACTAAAATCAAAAGCAGACTAAATGTATACAATGTAGGCAAAACAAGAAATTCTTAATACTCATATGCTTTTCTTCATTCTTTTATAATTTCAACCCCGAAATTGCTTATGTCGAACACAAATGTCGAAAACAAAGAAAAATAAAAACGAAGAGCTATTACCTCCTCGCTTACTTTTTCAGCGCTGGCATAATGGTGCCGCTGGGAACCTAGCCGTTTTACTGCTGCCTACATCTGTCTATGGAGAAAAAAAAAAGTTAACCTTGTATTAAGATTTATTTACCTTTTGTTGCTGTTATTCTTAATATGAAAATATATGTATGTACATTTTAGCAAGGTGGCATTGCAAGAAAGTGAAGAAGTAAGAAATAGATTATAATCAAAAAATTTGGCAACGTTGCATATTCAAAACAAACTGTCTTCAGACAAGAGGTGTTAAAATTCTTTTAAATAAATTGCCTCAATCAATTTATATGCCGCAATAATAATGATGAAGATAGATTTTTCTTCTAACTGAATTCAACTTCAAATTAATGGCTTCAGAAATACTGGTTGACTATTTCTAAACCGTTAGTAAAACGTTTTTCTAGTTTTCTCGCCGAGAATAAAATGAGTGAACTCAAAATGTATACATTGTAATACGGCGTTTACATTGGCCGAAAATGGCTCATTTTGGTCAAAAATCGAAAATGAGTATCGAATGGCTCATT